CTTTTTCGAATTAGTTTGATTATTACTTCATGAGTAGTCTGAGCTTGATAAACTGCCTCTGTTACTGCTAGCTGACATAAATAGTTGGTTATCTGCGTCTTCATATTATCTGTTAAATTTATTTTCTATCCGACAAAAGAGAATTCAAAAAAGGCAGGGCCAAGAATTCAACTGTTTGCTTGGTTGCTAGTATGGTTGAAATTTCTTTGTTGACCAAAAAGCATGGTTTACTTTTGCTCTGCCAAGTTCATGTACGTCCTACTTTTAAATGCAGAGGAACTTCCTGTGTTATTGTTTGTTGTGAAAACTGCAGCAATAATGATGAATATTATACAAGAGAGAAAACAAGAAAAACACACAGTGATTCGGCAATGTTTCTACATTAAAAAGAGCGAGGATCTTTGTTTCACTCTATGTAATATTAGGGTTACCCAATGTTTGATAAGGAGTATTATACCCTGAGGAATATGATGGCGCAGTGTTGCCCTAAAGAATTGCAGAATGTAAAGTAAACAATACATAGAAAACCAGCCAACGAGCCTACAACTGAGAAAGTGCTACTTTGTTTCAATTAGGGATACACGAACACTGACAAATTGAATGATGAAAATTAGGATCGAATTGTATTTAAGTTTTGTTGATTGGTATTTGGTCCATATGTCCTTGCTGAGCTTTATTATTTGCAGTGAAGGGGCATCAAGATGATTCTCCACCACCCATAGCAAGAATCTCGAAGTCTTATGTACCGAACGTGATCATGCCAAAAGTTTATGTTTCTGAAGGTTAAAGTTTAACTCATTGCTTTCATGGCACGAAATTCAAATTAGACTATGGCAAGAAATTCAAATTAGACTCTGATCAGCAGAGATATTTGTCAGTTCTTAAATATAAAAACTCTATTGATCTTTCACAGGAACAGAGAAGAAAAACATTTTTAATGAGGAGGATATACCAAAAATTAGAGCCAGTTCAATCCCACGCCCGCGTGCTGTCTTATCTAGTCCTGGTAATTTCACTTTCCCCTTTTAACATTCAATCCAAATTTATCTCTTCAGGTGCCATGGTCTGCCTACTATAGCCATGTCTTGAACTCTATCATGCCCTAATATGGGCAGCAGAGAGCGTAGTATAAACATAAGAAATTAACTAAAAAGAAGCTAGCTTCAACCTAGTCTAGGGTTGGAGAACGGAAGTAAACTTTCATTGCCCTTATGTTTGTGGCCTAAAAGATGGATATATTTCTGGATGAACTGCAGCCACAGTAATGAAGCATGCCTTTTGTTTATGCTTTAATTTTCATCCTATATATGATATCCCTCGTTGTTCTTAAATATTTTAAAATTTGAGTTATCAAATTATTGAATAAGACTAGACGCTTTTCGTGTAGGAACATAGTGGCCCAGCGTAGCTAGAGTTAGGGTTTAACAAATTAAACCTGGTTTATCTGGGAAACAAAAGGCCAGACACCCTGATAATCATCGCAGCATAACATTGTTCATATGCACTTCTTTTTGCTATTTATGCACTGGCCTGCTATCGCACTTCTTTCCATTCATGTGTGTGTATGGCCACGATCTGCTTAGATGCCACAAAGATTTCTAACAAGCGATTTTCGAATTCGTATCCAGACAATGATGCAGTGATCGGGAATAACAACAAGACTAGAGTGGCAAGGCCCTCAGCTTTGAAGAATAATAAGCTGATTCAAAATAGGCATGAACTATGTAAAGTTGTCCCCGCTAGAATCACTGATGCTACCCCAACAAATACAAGAAAGTCCAAGAGCACTCCTGACAATAAGAGTGAAGTTAAAGTAAAGAAAGGGCTGCCAACGGATACACCACGTTCTATGAGAATCTAATTGCTTAATATACACACTGGATCTATAGCTGGGTTGATAATAGCAAGGACATTTTTGTTTCCTAATGGGAGCACGGCAACCTCTGTTGCAATTTTGTTATACTGTAACCGAAATCACATGAAGGGCAATCTTCATGTAATAGGATCTGTATATTATCAGTTTGCTGTCCAGAAGAAGAAATTCATATATTATGAGCTTGAAGTCCAGGGGAATCCAGAGAAAATAAGATCAGCCTGCAACAATCACTGATGGACATATTCAACAGTACGTGGGCGGTTGCTGGCATTAACCTCCAGCCAAAGTCCAGGGTGATTTGTGGCGCCAACAAATTCAGACTTGCAAGTTAAGAATCATCCGAAAAAAACAGAACGTGGATGACCGAAAAAGTTTATTTTTTAAAATGTTTTTTAATTAAAAATATATTAAAATAATATTTTATTTATATTTTTTAATTTATTTTTAATATCAATACATCAAAATAAAAAAAATATATAAAAAAATTAAATAAAAAAACTCAAAATCACTAAAAAACTAACACCTCTTTAGCCTAACACTCATATTAATATGATTTAATGATATTGCTCCTTGCTCAAAAAACTTTTGAACTTGATATTGGTTGTAACGTAAGTTTGTTTATTCATTATGTTATAATTGTTTTTTATAAATTATGTAGAGTTAGATTTGTCATTTTACTTTTTTAAATAGTAAAAATATAAATTTAACTATAGAATAAAAACAAAGTATAAAACCTCTTACTCATAAATTTTTTATCTTTTTAATTTTTTTTAAAATAATATAATTATTTTGACGTCTTTAAAAATAAAATCAACTTAGCCATTTTCACAAAGATTTTTTTTGTTATTTTACATTTTTTTTATTATAAATTTAAAAGATGTTTAGGGCTTTTTTTTAATAATTGATATATTTTAAATATAATTAGAAAACATGTTGATGTGTGTAGAGGGCCCCACACTCTTTAGACATTATATGTAAGGTTGTTTGTAAATACAGCTTTTTATGGTGGTGTTTAAAATATTTTCACGTTGTTGATTCAATAAGATAAGATTTTTTTTTTCATCCTTTACTATTTCTCTCTTCACCTAGATTTAACATATTAAAAATTCAAGAATAATTATTTAATTTGTTGATTCTTTATATTTAATTATTTTTTTAGTATAATTTTTTTATCCTAAGTAATTTATAGAACTTGTATGTTCTTTTAATTTCACTTTTCTTAAATTTTTTTATTTTTCAAATTTAATCTTTATTTTTTTTATTGTTATTTTTTTATTTTTATTTTTTACAATTTCATCCTCATTTGGTTTTCTTTGTATCAAATTTAATTCATATTTTTTTTATTACCAATTTGTTTTGCTTCAACAAGTTTTAAAAACTACGTTTAAGATATTTGTCCAGATTTATTTGGTTTTTTTTCTCCCTTTAAACTATTTTTTTATTTCACCTTTTAGTATTTATTCAATTAAAGACTAAGTATTTTTTAGCTTGTTTTCTATAGAATTCTTTATTGATTTTTGAAATGATCTGGATATCCCAGGTCTTTTTGTTTATTTTTATTTGTTGGTTTTTTTTTGTTAATTCTTTAATTTTTTTTTTCAATATCTTTCTTTAATATTTGAAATGATTTCTTTAAACAATTTATATGGTCAAAATTATTTTTCTATTTCACCTCTTTATTTTATTTTTTTAATTTAGTTCTTATTCTTTTAATTATTATTTATTTAATTTGAGATACAAATTTTAAATTATTTTATTTATTTATTTTCTCTAGGAATTTTCAATGATTTTAAAAATAACCCAAGTTTTCTTGGGTTTTTTTAATTGTTATTTTTTGTTGGATTTACTTTGGCTAATCAACATTAAATTAAATAAAAATTGAGTTTTTTTATGCAATCCGGGTCTAGAATTTAATAAGTTATGAGTTTGAGATCCTTGACTAGGTTTAGAAGCTTTACTAGAGTTCTTTTGGGGTTTCTTCCCCTTTTATAAGTTTTTTTTTCCAGTTTTATCATTTAAAATTTATATAATTAGTGCTTAGGTTTTGTTTTTCATCCTATTTTTATATAATTTTTGTATTTGTGTATTTTTTTATCATTTTTGTTTTTAAATTTTTGGTTTTTCCATATATCAATATTTTTTTCTCAATTGCATATATGCCCCAAGTCATATTTTTTAAAAAATAAATTTTAAATACGCTTGCATCATAAAATTACAAATGTTTTTTAATTTCACTATATTTTTTTATTTTTTTAGATTTGATTTTTATTTTTTTTATTGATATTTATTTTTTTTGAGATCATTTTTTAGATTTTGTTTTTTACAATTTCATCATTATGAATTTTTTTTATCATATTTGATCTCTATTTTTATATTATTATTTTTTTACTTAAAAATAATATTTTTTCATGATTTTATTTTTTAAAATTAAATTTCTTAGAAATTAAGTTTTTTTATTAAACTTGGATTAAAATTTTAAAAGTTGCGAGTTTTAGACATTCGATTAAGTTTAGAAGGTTTATTCAGATTTGCTTAGTTTTTTTTATTTTTTTAAGTTAATGTTTTTTTAGAATTTAGAATTTAATTTTTTTATTTTTTTGGTTTAATTTTTATATGGTTAGTCTTGGATTCATGACTAGTATCACCAGTGTTAAATGTTAACACGAGTTGACTTTAAATTTTTTGTTATTTTTAAGTTTATTTATTTTTATTTTATTATTTAACTTTTAATGTATTAAAATTTAATCTTTGTGTTTTTTCTCTTTTTTCTTTCAAATGATTTATTTTTCGTGTTTTTCATTCTTTGAATTTATCTCAAATTTATATTCATTATCACAATGTTTATGAGTTGAGTTCGTTTAACTAAGTGTTTTTTTCTGTTTTCTCGGTCACAACTTCGATTTTTCAAATGCAACTTTTTTTTTACTTTTTTAGTATTTAAATTATTAATAGTGACTGGAATATCAGATTTTTTTTCCTTAACTTTTTTCTTACGTTAAAAAAAAAATAATCTGACCCGTCGGCCTCGAATTGCGAGCCACAAGTGTAGTTACTACTAACTCCGAGTCTGATCCATACTGAACGCACCTTATCTCCTCAGATATATCTTTACCCCATCTCATTGGACACAATCTGCCCACATCAGCTTGCACAGCCTAACCCTCCTTCCATTCCCCCATCAGCACTTACTTTCAAGTCATCCCCCCCCACCCCCTCCCATAACTGTAAAAACCACCACCATTACCACCAATTTTCTTGCCAATTTCTTGCACCATGGCTGCCTCTGCTGCTGCAGCTGTAGGCTCTTCTTTCTCTCCCTCATCAATTCACACCCTCAAATGCATGCATGTCAAGCACTGCCCGTTTGATCAAACTCTCCTCAAAGTCTCACCAGTTCGCATCATGTTAGCCACGTTATCTCGCTCGAATTATGTTATAGAACCACTTTCACAAGTTGCAGCCTCATGGAGGGTGCCAAGAGTATCTGCTGATGTTGCTCAAGAGGAGGCACCCGCAACTGCTCCTGCGGTGGAAGAAGAGGAACTGGCCTCAGGAGAAACAGAAGGAGAAGCTGATCAGGTCCCTGTTAATACCAAGCTTTACTTTGGGAATTTGCCATATAATGTTGACAGCGCACAGCTTGCTGGGATGATTCAAAAGTATGGTAGTCCAGAGATGGTTGAGGTATGTTAAACATCAATATATGATGATATTTGAGGAGGAGGATTTTCTTTACTTCACTTAATTAGGATCTGCAGTTATGGCTAGATGTACCATTAAAATTCATTTTTTTTATTAATTTTTTTTTTATGTTTTGTATTTGATGAGTTAATTTTAAAAATAATTATTTTAAAATAAAAAATATTATTTTAATAAATAAAAAAAAAGCTTTAAAAAACAACGGTAACTACGATTCCAATCCAGCCCAGACATGAATAAACAAGGCTGCTTATGATGCCAAAGTATATAGTGGAGTGTGTTCCTCAAACATGCAAGAACTAAATTAATTTGCTAAATGAACTTTCTTGTTGATTTCCTAAAACACGGCTCTGCAATAGCTTGAAAATTCACCTCCTAATCAGATGATAAAGCTTGTGGGCTTCCATAAAGAAGAAGAAGAAGAAGAAGCTTGAAATCCCTCAGATAGGTAACTACTCATTTAGCAGCATAATTTCTTGAGAAATTCACCCTTGAAATCACTTGGACTGAGAGATAGCGTGTGCTTAGATTCTACATGGAAACCTGAATTCGCTTTGGCCGTGTGATATAGGTGCATGTCTGCATCAATATACCATGAATGAAAGTTCTGGTAACTTCAAACGTAGGGTAAAGGGACAACTCAATCAAAGTAGTGAAATTCCTGTGTTAGCGATCAGTTGAGCAATCTTGAATGGTAAATTTAATAGATTGAATACAACTATATGAGCTTCTTGAACTTGGATGAATTGCACAAGCCTGATACTTCAGTTTTTATCATCTCAACGCACAGCTGTAGGTTGCCTCTTAGAGAAGGATGGATGGGTGAATTGGTGGTTTGTTTGCTATTATTCCCTTTTTACCGTCATCACGAGCTCTCCATCAATCAAGAACGTGGTTCAGTGTCCTGGAAAAAACCATGGTAGAGGAGTGAAGGAGGAGCCACATGTTAGCACTGTGGCAATGGTTCCCTGGTTATGCTACACTCACACGGATACGAAGATGATTGGTAACCAAGTAGGTTATTCAACATGGATCTATGTGAGAGGAGATGCATAATTGTTGCCAAACAAAAAAAAGGAGGTGCATTATTGTTTAACTGATGATCTCACTTGTTGCTAGAGAAGTTTTACTCCCAATTTTCACTGCTTCAAGGGGTTTTGGGAAGTGAAAGAGTGAAGCCCGCCTCAATATGCAATCAAGCACTGTAGTATTCATTTTCCTTTGTTTTCAAGACTCCAGAACACCCAAATTAAGATAGTCCCTTCTTTTGCTGTTACTGATTTCATACTTTTTTCACGATAATGATGATTACAACTATAAATGATGGAAACTTGACCATTGGTAACGAAATGCTTTCTGAATATTATAGAACTTGTGCTTAAGTATTGATTTCTCTTCACTCTTTACCTTACAATTTGCCTTAATCGCAATGTTAATGCTTGTCAGTTGTCATGGAATTTATAGTACTGTTTATTTCCCTTGTTATTATTATTATTATTATTATTATTTGTGAGAGCTATTCTTTTACTGACCAATGAGCATGGCTGCAGGTTCTCTATCACAGAGAAACTGGAAAAAGCAGAGGTTTTGCATTCGTGACAATGAGTAGCATTGAAGATTGTGAGGCAGTCATTGAAAATCTCGATGGAAGCGTAAGAACTCCTCCGTGTGTGCGTGTGAATACTTTAATATATTAGCGAGTCATTTTACCTCAAGCTTCAAATTTTGTTCCTTTTTCAGCAATACATGGGTCGCATCTTAAGGGTGAACTTTGCAGATAAACCAAAACCTAAAGAACCATTATATCCAGAAACAGAATACAAACTTTTTATTGGAAATTTATCTTGGTCAGTAACGTCTGAAAGTTTGACACAAGCCTTTCAAGAATATGGTAACGTTGTTGGAGCACGGGTTCTATATGACGGGGAGACAGGAAAATCCCGTGGTTATGGTTTCGTATGTTACTCAACAAAAGAAGAAATGGAAACAGCCCTTCAATCTCTTAATGGAGTGGTATAATCTACCTCCCTCTACTCAGTATATACTTTGTGTTACTTGCAGCATTTGTTTTTGGAAAACAGTTAATCAATGGTCATGTGTTATATTTAGGAACTGGAGGGACGAGCATTACGTGTAAGCTTAGCTGAAGGGAGAAAATCATAAGATGGAGAGTGGAAAAGGTGCAGATTTGAGAAAAGATGATCAATACTGATAGCACCAAGAAATGGAAGGAAACAGTAGTTAATTTTACTATTGCAATCACTTGGCAACCTGAGATTCTCTTCTCTTTCATGTCTATTGTGTTTGCCTGATCTTCCACTTCTGATTGATGAGTAGAAAGAAGTTCCTTATAAAATTTGTCATGGTTTTGGTAAGGCTATGAATATGCTACGATAAACAGAAAAAATCTTTCTTGGCTGCTGGGAACTGAATAGAGCAGATGGGAAAATCGTCAGAAAGTGTTGTTAATTTGGCTGCAATTTCTCTCAATTTTAACAACATTTTAGTTTATTCAGTTGGAGCTTATATCTTAATGACATTCTATTGTTCTGCTTCTGATGAAGCATTCGTAACTATACTCCTGGTCTAGTATTTAACTATTTATGATGCACTTGAGCATTGGCAGCAGCTACTGCACCTTCATTGTGATTGGGCATCTCAAACTGACTCGTGCTATCTTCTTCATTTTCCTCTGTTTCCCATAGGAAACTAGCATAAGCTGCGAGAACATAGCTGAAAAGAAAGAAAGAATGAAACGTCAGGCCAAGAATCAGTCAGTCCTAGAATGTATAATTTAGCTGCCATTCCTATCAAACAATCAAAGCATCTTCCATCATGCAAATCGTCTAGACCAAAAAGTTCTTTTGCTAAACAGAATTTTCTATAGGGAAAAGAGTGGCTGGTCTAATCTCTAAAACTCAAACTCCTCTATACCATCTCCCCTTTCTTATGGAGTCCCTTCCTTGTATGTGAGTGCTCGTTTTATAGATATACTTGCGGAGAGTAATAAAAAAAGAAGAAGAAGAAACTGGAGGTCCGGCATCAACATTTTACATTTTCAAACCAAAGAACGTGAACTTTGGAACTCCGGAGGACCATCTTGTAAACACAAATAAATGGAAAGCCGTCTAAATTCTAAAACATGGAGAAAGGGATGTACCTGTCCGCAGGAGTTGCTTGAATTGATTGTTTGAAGTAACACAAGGCTTTGTCATGGTCACAATAAAGTTCCCACACCAATTTTGCATATTGCGACAGGATTTCTCCATCACCAGGATCAGCCAGTATGGCTTGGGAGAAGTATTCCTCAGCCCCTTTAAGGTCTCTCTTGGACTGTTGGTTGAAAACAAATGTTATAGCAAGAATGGAGGAAGAATGACAACTCACAGACTCCAATCTAGACGTCTACAAGAAAGAAGTAAACAAAATAGTAAAGGAAGCACAATGTGCAAAACACTCTAGTCCACAGTGTAGCTTGTTGCCACAAACAGCTAACCAAGAATTTGCACTGTGATCACTGTACCACGCTGCCGGCCTCCTTCAATTTTACATGTGATGTCACTCTAAATACAGAAAACGATAGCAAAATCATCTCAGTCATTGTCAGACATATATTTATGGGTACTCCATTAGAGATTAATAGACACTACCTGATTTTGTGTACTAAAAGCTGATAATAGAAGACTTGTATGTATATAACTAAACAAAAGTCCCTTAGATCTGGTTAGCATGATGATTTACATTTCTGACCATTTGCAGATTTTTTCAGATTTTTGATTTCCTGTACCAAACTGAAGCATCTTTTTACAGAATGACCGTCTTTACCACAATTGAAGATGTACCAAATCCTAAGCCATGTCTTCACCTTAACTCTTGTAGTTGCATCCTTGCTTTAATTGCATGTCTATGAGACATAATACGTGTTATGCATGCATATTTGATTATTCTTTCCAACTAGTGTTTTCTAACAGCTCGATTCACGATGAAGTGCAATGACCGTTGAAGGACAACTCCATCCATCTTGGGATTCAATAAATTTTGCTAGGATAGCCTAGAGATGGGACTGTACGAATGTCCAAATTGCTAAAAGCGCCAAAGTAACAGATGGATGCATTGAATGACTTTATATCTCTGACTCCCATGTTAAAGCTACATCTATAGTGAATGACTCCTCCTTCAATCCAGGATTACGTGTCCCAGAAAAACAGATGGTTACTAACTCCTACTCCTTAATGGAATGTGTTCCAGATAACATATTTTTAATTATGCAGTTATACATTCATCTCCAATTTAACCTTCGGAAAGATCTATTCCTTAGATCATAAGATGGAATTTCCTCATTGATGATCATTTTCTAGTTGTATGCAATGGCCATGGAAAATTCTCCTTAACCTCAGTGGGGTATGCCCTTATCAAACTAGCAATCCTGTATTATATCTATCCTGAGAAACAAAGATTTTCCAAGTTACCTTTCCTAACTTGTTTGAAACAGTTTTTCATGCTCGCAAAATATCATTCCAACTATTCAAACTGTTTAAAAGAATTAAGCAGTCTCGATGCATCAGTTTACAAATATCCCATACAATAGTTTTGAAAGTGTGCCACAAATCTCTGCTTCCACCATGCCTCACCTCCAGTCTCTAGATAATGGAGTCTGATGGAAATATATCCAGTTATGACTACAAAGTTCAAACATTAATTATAGATTCTTCTTGTATACTATTACAAGTATACTACCAGAATGAGCTTATGATGAAGTAAAGAGATAAATTTACAGATCTTACCTGATACAGAAGCTCAGCATAATTTCTTAGAACCAAAGAGTTGCAAGGATTTGCCTCTACCATCGCTCTATAAGACTCCTCAGCATCACGATCCTGGTTGGCATCAGATGCAGCATGGTCTTCCAGATCAATATGATTCTTAGATGGAAGCTGCAACAGTTTAAAATTCTAGTTAGTGGCTAGGTTTAAAAGCTTAGTTGGAACCCTACAATAAAACATTCACAAATTTATGACCAAGAAGAGAAAGTGGCACCTGGATAAATTCTTGTTGAAATGTATTTCCTTCCCCATCGTCTTCTATTTCCCAGAGTAAGCTGGCATAAGCTGCATGAACATTGCTGAAAACATGGAAAGCAAAGCTATGCTTATTCATCTCAAATACAATTCAGGTGCAATCATTTTCGAAGTCCGTGTAGGATTCTTATCACGTGGCACTGCAGCTGAAAGAGCCTTTGCACTAAAAATCATCAAATTTATGCCTGGGGTGCTTGTTGATGCTTCTCACATCACCATATCAAAAGCACACAAAATGCATCAATTTGGTGCTTTGTAGCGCAAAAGCACTTTGTAAAAGTAACTCCAACACAATAGACAAGCTACTATTGATGGGAGTTAGATTTGCAACTCTTTGCAAAGGAGCTAGAAGAAAGCAAGTTCATATTCACCTGTCTTGAGGGGCTGACTGAACTGCACGCTCAAAGTTAATTAATGCTCTATCTTGATCATGGTTAAGCTCCCATTCCAGTTTTGCATACTGCATCAGAATTTCACCGTCTGCAGGAGCTGCCAGTGTTGCAAGACGATAATATTCCTCAGCTCCATGAAGATCTCCCTTGGACTGTTAAAAAGAGAAGCTTTACAGTGAAAAACCAATCATTTTCTTATGGCCTCTACAAAATATAAAGGTCCACTCTCAGAATGCTTGAGGAATTACAATACTGAAGAAAAACACTATTGCCTGTCCGAACACTATTCTTACTTTAATGAGATTATTTTATGTCAAAATGCTTCGTTTCCTTAATAAAAAAATAAAAATAGATGGGCATTCTTACCAGTTAAAAGTAATTTCAGTATGTGATTAATTGTGACGCCATTTAGAAAACGTGGGATCCAAAGCTATGCATAAAACAATAGTACAAAAAGTGCCAGCAGAAGCAGAAGCAGGAGTAATTGAAAATAATAAAAATAGCAGCTATCAAGCCAAGCCAACCTTTCAATCTGCTCCAAATCGACACAGAAGCACCAACAAGATTACATTTCCCTTAGACATTCAAACCTAATGAACATGACTGGAAGCAGACCTTGACAAAGATCTGAACATAAAAACCCCAAATATTATAGGACCTGATCATTCAAAGTCTAGATCCCATGTTTCACAATAAGGAGTTCAAAAGGCTGGACAGCTCTTCTGGTAAGCACGGTGACAACTGGGATGGCTCAAGGTGCATCAATTTCATGACATGAGTTATCTTAAATAGGTATGATGAAGTGAAAATTAGAGTAGAGTCAGAAAAGAAAAAAACTAACCATACCAGCAACAGCCGAGCATAGTTTGAGAGGAGCAAAGGGTGGAAAGGATACTCATCAATCATCCTCTTATAATACTCTTCCACATCATCATCTTCATCAAGGTTCGGGAAACTTAAATGAAAACCACCACTATCACCACCGAGATCTATATCATCAATCCCAAGCCCAGCAGCAAGATACAGGGGAGGACTAGCCGGTTCCCTTACTTCTTCAATATCGAAATTCTCAATTCCGTTTGAATCTTGTTCCTGCTTCTTCTCTCCTTCCTCCTCTATTAACCCCGTGCTCGTCTCTCCAAAACTGAAGTCCCCGCTACCAATAGATTCTATGTTTTCTCTAATAGTAATAGTTCTCATCAATTCTTCTCTTCCCACATCTGTTCCATTGCGTCCTTCATCCTCTAGTCCATCATTTTTGTAAAATATCGAAAAAGAAGGTGAAGAGTGCAACATTCTACATTGAAATTTCTTTGATGTAGTAGTTGAGTTACGAAATTCTTCTTGATCACAAGAAGATGTATAGACAAAACTTTCGAAATTACTATAGGACGAAGCTCTTCGAAGGCCGTTAATTCGAGAACTACCCTTTTCTTGATCGAGTTCAGACAATGGAGATGAGCTGCCGTGGTCTGATAATGGTGTCAAGTTGAGGTGCAGCAAACCGTGAGGGAATGATAGTTTGGATCACGAAACACTGGTTGGTGTTTGATGTGGTTGGTGTGGGTGTCGTGGGTGTTGTTAACAGCGTCAAAGTCTCTATTAGGGCCGTCTGAGAAGGGTGAAAACAAGGGTCCAGTTGCAGAAGCTGATGAGCTCCTTAGAAACATTTTTGCCTTTGATCTTGGACAAATCAGTTTAACAAGAGTTAGAAATTGTTGTACACGTAAAGGGTTTTACCCCCTCTTTGACATATACAAAAAAGGGATTTCGCATTGTTAAATCTATCCCGAGATTGACCATAAAACCAAAAAGCAAAAATTAAGAACATTTCATTTGGGTTGACGACCTCCACGCCAAAAATGAAATAGCTTCTGATTTTCGAAAAACAGAAGGGAGGCATATGTTTCATCTTTCTTACAGAGATGGTAGATCAACATTCTGAGCATCAAATTAAGATATTAACCAATTTTTTTAATTGAATCTAAGCAATGCTAAAACAATGAACAAATTTGCAGAACAATATTAGTGCTAAAAATATTTTTTCCCCTCTTCTTTGCCTATAATTCAATATACTTTTTGGACAATGAAGACATCTTGGATTAGAATGAAACTACTCATTTGAATTAACTAAGAACATATAGATGACCATAAATGTTGTCACAAGTAGCATTTCTATGTTGATATCGCTCCAGTTGCCGAATAGTAGTTAATTAGCAAGATGCATGTGATTGCTTTAGACTTTTAGACCCATTAGCAATGAAAGGCAGCCAGGAAGACTTCACGTGATAAATGCCAAGGGTTTTCGTGAGAAGTGTCTAAGCCACCACGGATCTATAGGATACAACCCACGTTTAAGGCCAGTTTGTTAAATAGTAGCAGTACGACTCACTTCACTTGTGATTTAATTGTTGGTGTTTTCCTTAAATTTTAACCTGAAAGGAATCCCAAGATTTTCTTTGCTTACACACTGCCTGAACTAATATGAAGGCACATGTGTGTGTGTGTGTGTGTGTGTGTGGATTAGAGAAGAGAAGAAAGCATACCTTGTATCTTGGTATGGTGCGGTATATATATATATATATATATATATGGATTAGAGAAGAGAAGAAAGCATACCTTGTATCTTCGTAAGGTGCGGATTATCTTTCTGGGAATAGGCAAAAGACATGACCACCTCAGTTCTCTCCACTCCTATAGGCTATTACGGTGAACAACATCCATGAATGCGTGAGAGTTGAGACTTGAAAGAGAGGAGGGGGTGTTTGGGGTGTGAACTGTGGAGCGGTATATGTAATTCGAGCAAGAGCAATGGAATGGAGGTTTCTTCATTGATGGGGCAGCAGCAGAGCATGGGAACTTGCGCGCGTACCCATGACGGACAGACCAGGCATTTTAATTTCATTTGATTTTCTAGATGGCACGTGCACTTACTTTATTGAGAGGTGGCAGTCAGTGGCTGCCTCCGTTAGGTGTCAACAGAGGAGAGCATAGAGGGCAATGATCCAGCCTCCAAAGGCTCAGATCGACATGTCATGCTATATATTATCACACGACCTGTTTCTTATAACTTGTGGTGTGTGTTCATAATCTTCGTTTTTTTTTATTACATGCTGCTTCGTAAGGCCTTGGGGCCACCAATGGGAATAATCTACCCCAGATTTCTAGCACCCTCGTTTACTTCCTTCGCAGGTTTCGAACTTACTAGGTGTCGCAACACGAATCCAGGATCAATAGTTGGCAATGCAGGAATGGTGTTATAAGGACACGCACCGTCTAGGATAGGCCTCAGAACATATATATAAAATAAGTGATATAAAAATTTTAAATGTTGGATAATTTTTCAAAATATTATATTTTTTTTGAGGAATAAAATCAAATAATAAAAATTTTTATTATCGAATAAAACAAAACAAATAACTTATAATCCTTATTATATTGCCAAAACCCAAACTTAATTAAAATAATATAATAATGAACCTTAAAATATCGAATGAAATACTAAAGAGAAAGTTTTGCAAAACAAGTAAAATATATCGATTAAAATAAAAAAAAAAAAAAAACATTCATCAAAATTTATTTGTTAATAGAAACTAAGAATTTAAAATGATATTAAAAAAAAATAAAAGGGTAAATTCAACTAATTTATTAAGGGAATAACATTTAACATATATCTTAGATATTAATAGTTTGTAAATTGATATATCTTGATATAAATATACATATTAAGCATATTAACATAAAGTATTGGAATATATGCAAGAGATTAGATGATACCTGAAAATAATCACTATGAGAAAATCCAGTGTTGCAAACTAATGTTTTTTTCACCAGTTAGATATACAAAATATTATATATACATAAACTAATCACTCTTTATTAGTATGGAATTATCGATAAATATATTGATATCAAGATATAATAGATACTCGTATAATTATCAAAGTAATGTAAATCATTTCGAATGGAATTTAGTTTAATAGAATGCGAGTGTAAATTCAAAAATGGATGAATACTCGAAAAATAAATAAAGTAACATATATAAATATTTAAAAAATTAACTAGTTGTACTCATCATGTAATAAAATATAATTCAACAAAATGCAAGTGCAGATTCAATAATGGATAAGTACTTAGAAAATAAAGCAACATATATAAATAATTAAAAAATTAACTAGTTGTACTATATATATATATATATATATATTACATGCATAATGCATATTAAAAAAATTATCTTACTCATCCAAAAAACAAAAACAAAAGATAATGAATGTACAACTAGAGACTTCTAAAGATCATTAATAGGAACGTTGACAAAACCTCTAATACATATGGAAGATACTGAAAAACAACTCAAAGCAAAATAATATAAAAAATTAAAACTCTAAGTTAAGATACCGAAATATAATTATAAAGCCAAACCAATTTCCATGATCAATTATAAGTATAACCCAAACTGATTGAAACTAACAAACTCAATAAAATTTTACTGTTAGAGTAGCCGGTCGACCACTATCATAGGTTAACCGATCAACTAGAAGCAATTAGTCAACTGATAGAGATTTTCAAAATCCTGATATACAAATCTTTAAATTTACAAATCTTAAAAAATAGGCATTCTATTTTTCAAACACTCATAATCCAAACAATATATCAAATTAATTTTAAGTAGGAGTGGCACCCTAAACATTAATTATAACTTTTAGGTTATTCAATCATCAAATCATAATAAATACCTTAACTCTTCTTAAAACCTTCTACCATCAATCTCTAATCAAGAATAACAATAAGGAAGGAGATGTTTATTTGTTCTTGTTCTTCTCAACCTTTCTAGAAACCAAAACCATAAGCTCAAAACCGATTTCTTGGTATATATGGGAGTAAGTCACGACAAAGAATGAAAAAAATAAAGGAAGATGGAAAAAGTAAATTCTATTGCAACCTTTTCATTAAATATTGGGTTTTAGGCTGAACTTTGAGTTTCGATCAGGCCAAGCCTATGGTTCTTTCATTAGATCCCTTGGTTTATAGTCTCTGAGTCGAAATGTCCAATAGCTAGAATGTTTCCTCGAATACACCAGTAGAAGGGGAATTAAACATTAAAACTTGCGAAATTTTGATGCTGAAATCAGCCCAACATGCTTTAATTTAGTCAGCTCTTGAGCGCCTTATGTAGTGTGTGAGACACAAAAATTCATGTGAAAGAATTAGAACTGAATCACAGAAACCGAATGGCAGGAAAATGAGAGCCAACAGAACATTTCTCCATCCAAATACATAAAGCACAACGGTGGCCAATCAATGGGGATACTAATTAGTACTTAAAAGTGCATTTTTATCATGGTTTTATATCATCATTTTGCACTTGAAGTATCAATAACTCCTTAACTAAAATATGTTTTATAATAATGTATCTAATAATATAAGATACCTATAATTTGTGGTAAATGTCTATTTTTAATGCAGGCCTATCACATAAATGAAAGGATTGATTGATGACTTGAAGAACTTAAATTGCAAGGATAAAGAGATGGTCAAACTTAGAGAAGAGATGTCGGTGCAATCCAAACCGGAACACTGTTCGGTAATTGGGTCATATCTGGAGCTACAGATCTCAGATTTAGGTCCAATTTATATGGATGGAAAGGTAAGACATAGGCCTACAACTTTCATATGGAGCCCAAGATCTAAAAAGGCCATTATCAAGTCCAAATTATAGCAACAACAAAGAAGCCCGAATCTGTCTTCCAGCCCGAGCACTGTTCGGTATTTTGGCCATATCTGGAGTTCTAGAAGTCCAAATGAGCTGAATGTTTTACACAAGAAATCTGAGACAATTGCCTACAACTTTCATGTTTACAACTGGCTCCAATTTTGACGTTATCAATGACGTTTTGGGCAGACAAGAGAAGATAAGGATTGTCACCAAGTCAAAAGTTGGCCACCCACTTATCAATTAGTCATCAAATCAATAGTTCCCAATTTTGGCCTATAAAAGGAGGCATTTTCCATGCATTTAGGCATCTTGGTTTTCCATATCAAGATCATGCTCTTCCTTTCTCTCTTTGTATTTTTTGTAATGTTTATGCTTTGCTTTCATTAATATTAAGTTTATGCCTTTCATTTCCTTTCCTTTACTTAATTAACTTTTATGTTCTTATTTTGTTTATCTATTTTGCTTTCTTTCATTATGTCTAGCTAAGTTAGTCATGTCAAGGTGAAAAGGTTACACTAATGGTGTAAGAATAAGTATAATGTAAACTTAATATGGACTTTAATGTTTGATACTAACATGTTTTATATTTGTTATCTTGTTCACTCTTTAATACTTTGCTTGTTAAATGACTAATCTTGATTTATGTTGTATAACACTTGGTACAACAAATGCTTGGCACTTTCATAGCCCATAATGTATGGTATAACCGACACCTGAGCTATGAAAGGAACTTGATTTGTTGTTAACATAAGTTATAATCATGAATGCTTGACGAGATTTACAAGTATTAGCATTAATTGAATAAGATGACTAATGTAATCATGTTAACAATATATAATCTGATTGGAACCTCCTTTGTGTGTGGTTTCCAATTCAATAATAAGAGTTTATACTATACTTGTTTGATATACCATTAGTGGAACCTCTAACCTTGACATTTGTTATTATTATTGTTTAATCCTTACATTAATTTTTCATCTCCAAGTTCCCATCATCTTCTTCTTCTTCTCTTTCTTTACTACTACTACTACTACTACTACTATTATTATTATTATTATTAGTATTACTATTACTATTACTATTATTATTATTATTATTATTATTATTATTATTAGTATTACTATTATTGTTGTTGTTGTTGTTATTACTATTATTGTTGTTGTTGTTATTTATAATTTGTACAAATAACCTCCCTGTGGTTCGACCCCGGTCTTGCCGGGTTATTTATTACTTCGACACTCCTGCACTTGGGAGAAGACATCAATCTTTTCGTCGTGTCAGATATAATTGGCTGAAACTGGCCGGTGTTTCAAATCACGCTGCCTCTTTATCAAAGATCAAGACGGGGTTATATGTGCCAGGTGGCACCAGAAGGACCAAGGGCTTTGACATTTCTCTTGGACCTTTGTTAATAAACTAATGCTGAGAATCTGTAGGTGCAATATAGAGGATTGGCTAACGGAGGAGAAGCCACCATTATTAGAAAACATTAGCGGGTCATGGTAGAGATTTTAGAGAGAGATTTTATGAACTCGGTATAGGAATTTTAAGAATGTTCTTCGCATAATAAATAAATAAACTTGCACAAAAAAATCCAGACTTTTTTTTTTGAGAATAAATCCAGACATGTTGCTTTTACAATTGTATAAAAATGGCATCAATGACAGCATATACGTTCTCTAATTATAGCGATTCTAATTATAATATTGATACTTTGTATTGGAAAAACTTTTACAGCAAATTAGGAGCCAATCTCCCCACCCCAATAACTGGAAACCAGCCATTGTTGTCTGACCCGAAGAAACCTAATTCAGGACTTGATCGGACCTAGCTTCATCCTACCTAACTGACATTTCAATCCTTGTCTCTCTTCAAACTGCCAATACATTCATGAACTTTGTGATTTTTGCTGCTTCCTGAGTCGTAACCTTAAGAGCTGTCTGTCTTCTCCCAATACCCAAAACTGTGTTGTCCAGGTCAATACATTCTATGATCTCTGGTCCGCTTCCTCCTGGTCGGAGATTTCTCCTTCCCTTGATGCCAGCCCTCCCTTCGTCGTCCTCTCCTTGGACGACTGTATGGAGGACATTTTAAATCTCGATTACAATCTTTACAGCAGTAACAAACAAACCTTTTTTTTATCATTGCAATGTCTCATGTGATCTTGTCACCCTTTCAACTCTTGGAACTCAATGTCATTTCTGCACAAGATCTCGCCAAGGTCTCACGAAAGATGAAAACCTATGCAGTTGCATGGATCCACCCAGACCGGAAACTTTCAACAAGAATCGACTCTGAGGGACGCAACAATCCCACTTGGAATGACAAGTTTGTTTTCCGCGTGGATGACAGGTTCCTCCATGGTGACACCTCTGCTGTCATGATTGAAATCTACGCCCTGCATTGGTTCCGTGACATTCATGTAGGCACCGTCCGTGTCATTGTTGGGAACCTGATTCCCCCGCCTGATCCCCACCATCACAACCAATTTCAGATAGGCATGCGCTTCGTTGCTCTCCAGGTCCGCCGACCGTCAGGACGCCCCAAGGGGATTCTTAACATTGGTGTGGCGCTTCTTGATAGCTCAATGCGAAGCATGCCATTGTATTCACAGCTTAGCTCGGCCGTGGGTTATCGTCAGCTTATGGGGGAAGAGGACATGGATCATCATAAAGATGTTTCTGATGTTAGCAGTAGTGGCATCCGTTCCAATCCCCTCTTGCTTCCTTGGCCTCCGAAATCTGAATTAAGACGTACGAAGAGTGATTCAAGTTCCTTGTTTGGGTCAATGGTGATGGAAAAGAAAAGGATGGTGATGAAAGGGAAGGGTGCTTCCATGATTAGTGGCTCAGAATCGGAGGATACGATGATGATGAATGGAGGGAGAACAAAAGCTAGTTCCATGGTCAGCGGATCAGAATTGGAGAAGAAGAACAAGAATTGGAGACAAGAAGCCAGTTACATGATAAGTGGCTCAGAGATTGTCAAGAAAGACCAAAATAATAATTTGGTTCTTAGTGATTCAGAGCTTAATGGGGCCTTTGCAAAAGCCTCGTTAAGCTCTGAAGCATTAACAAACGAAAGATCTGATGACAAATCAACCGAATTGGATAACATTGTGAAAACTGTACCGAAATTTCCAGGGTTGGATCTTGGATCTCCGTACAACAACTTCAGGCATGCAACTCCGAAAAAGGCAAATTTAATAAGTAGGCCAGCTATCACCGATTCAGAATTGGGCCCATCACCATCAGAGGTGGCGGCAGTAATGACAAGAAAGAAAAATCGTCGAGTCGTAGAGACAGAGAGTGAGATAATGGGAGTAATGAGCTTGGATGGAAGCATGGAGGGTCTTCAATCTAAACTGGAAAGATGGAGAGCAGAGCTTCCGCCAGTTTACGATTCCAGTGATATCTCAAGTTTTCCTGCTAGTAGCACTTCTAAAGAAAGCAAAATTGTTAAACGACACAGCCGCAGGCACAGTGCTGATGATGATGGCACGTTTACTTGCTTCGGTAGATTTTGTGGTTTAGAGTGTTCAATTGTATGTGGTGGCCCTGCCAGGAGGAAAACAGATGGGAAGAGGAATCGAAGCTATTCCATGGATAATTTGAGGTATAATGTTTAAATTTACCTGATCAGTGACTGATGGGATCGTTTATCTCTGTGTTTCGGATTATTCGATCGGTTAAAGTCGGGAAACTAACAGCCTTTTGCTATAGTGCCTCGTCACTCATGAGAATTAAGGTATCACAAGAGTCTGCCCTGTAGCCTCTCTTTAATTTGATATTATCCATTTACAATGGCACAGTTCGGAGATCAGTTTCATCAGATATGTTGTTGTTGACCGTACGAGGATCTTGTCACATTCTACTCCTGAAATTAACAATCCTTGCTTTCAGACATTTTCTTCTGCTGACCAAGAATGTTGTCTCTTTACCTTTGATCTTCGATTTTTTCTTTTGCATCATGTTAGATTGAAGAGTTTTTGTTACCTTCAGTGTTAATCAAGCATCACTTTTTAAACACCAAGATCAGTTGCCTTAGAATCCTTCTTATTCTTAAGCTAAATATCATTTCTCCGTACGTGCTCGTCGTCATTCGTGTGCAGGAACCATGCTTTATATTATTTTCTAATTCCCTATTGTTTAAAATCATGTATCAGAAATAAAAATTAATAGAAAAGTAAGGTCAGGATAATTATGTTCAAACGATGTGGGCACAAAACTTTTGATCTTATCCATTGATTCTCGAGTTCTTGTAATTAATTTAAGCTTCTTTCTTATACTGTTTGATTTCAAATTAAGGATTCTGCATCAGCCAGCAAAAAGTGCTCTTCAGTGGATTCCATTTCTGATAAGATAAGGAGTAGCGCAATAAGGATTCTCTATGTCGAGAAAATTGTTGCTTGGACACACACACACAACACACACACACACACACACACACACACACACAACACACACAAGCTCCACTATAGTACATATGCTGTCCTGGAAACATTTTACTTTTTTAGAGAATGGACATTCCATGGAGTTTCCTTGTGAAGTAAATTTAAGTTTCCCAGAAATGGGTTGACAGGAGAGGAGTGTAGCTGAAACAAGAATCTAGTCATTTTATGATGGATCCAAAAAAATCCCCTAAAATAAACCTAAAGAAACACCTCCAGAGTGCAGACTTATATTCCAAGCTCAAAATACAACAAGAAACTTAAGGAGAGTACAACGCCGAATCCCAACTCCCTAGATAACATGAGCTCAAGAAAGAAACCTTAGGTCATGTTTGGTGTGACATGCCCACCACCCTTGATGCTAGGCGTGTATTCCATTATTTATGTAACCTCAGGATTCCATGCTCGAGCGTACTATACGTGAGCTTAGAATTGCATCTTGAGACCAACATTCTTAAATCTAGGTAATATACCTAGATTTATTTTTCATTTTTAATGGCCTAACTTCTATTAGAAATTTTTATGAGATTTTATACGGGCCTTTTATTATTTTATACTAATCTAAATTTTTTAATAAAATATAACTTAAAATATCACAATAATAAAATTATACTCTAAACACTTCTTCTTATAAAAAGACTATAAAAAAAGACTCACTATAAAAATTTTAGAACAAAAGTTTATGATTTTTACTCTTTGTTGTATGTATATTTTCAGAGTATTTTTTAAAAAATTTATTATATATTTTTTTAAATATTTATTTAAATATAGGAGAGTCTCTATTTTTACTAAACAAATTTTTTATATAAATACTAGTTACAAGTTATTTTGATCTGTCAAATATAAAGTATATGTTATTAATCATATAAAAAAATACATTAAACTATTATAAATAATTAATTAACGATCATCTAAACTGACTACTCTATTTCTAGGTTATTTGAAATTATTTTTTAGGATATAATCACTTTGGCTATCGATATAAAAGGAGAGGAAGAGGTATTTTGATTGAACCCGTAAACATTCTCTATCCTTTTCCTTGTTTTAGAAAGTGGATTCCTCAAGAACAGTGACGAAAAAAAATTCCCTGCACTTTTATACCATCAATGGTAGTTAATTTTTCAAGAGTATTTGTTGCCCTTTATGTCTCCAAATTAAAGTTAGACCCGCACGCCCGCCCGGACCTGTGCTATGGCTTCGGGGGAGCCACCCCCGAAGTTTTAAAATATCTTAGTTTTAATCTTTAAATTTTTAATTTCTTCATAATAGGTAACATTCGTTCCTAAAAATAAAATATTTGCACAGCTGAAGTTTTAAAATATCTTAATTTTAGTCTTTAAAGTTTTAATTTCTTCATAATAGTTATACATTCGGATCCTAAAAATAAAATATTTTCTTTTCAACCTTTTAATTGGCATCTTCATATAAAATTTTCTAGTTCCACCCCCTCTTCCCCCTCTTCCCATGGTTGGACCAAATTCAATTATAAAAATTAATTTGTCATATTTATTTGGAAATATAGATAAAAGATATGGATCTTTATAGAGAAAAGAAAATTAATCTATAAAATTTAATGTTTTGTTTGATAGTGTGGTTGCAGTTTTTTTAAATAATTTTTTATGCTAAAATGCACGTCAATGATTTTTTATTTTATTTTTTAAAAATTATTTTTGATATCAGAACATCAAAATAATTTAAAAACACTAAAAATATATCAATTTGAAATAAATAAAAAAATAAAAAAAAATTAAACTTTTTTCAAAAATACTTTTAAAATACAAAAATAAATAAGTATTAATTAATTCCTTTTTATTATTACACATAAAAAAAATACACCGATGTAATTTCACCATCAAGACTGCCCATGCTCATAAAGCCTATCATTAATATTAATATATTAAAGGAATTTTGAAAAATAAAATGTTGTTTTGACTTTAGCAGTCAAACACAGTGGTTGAATTTTGATTTGTTATCGTATTGTGATAATTCTAATAAATTTTTAAGAGGTGCTTGAGAAATCTATTCATATACTCCATGTTTATTTTCTGTATAATTCTACAACTACAAATTATAGCAAAATTCGTAAATAAAATTAATTTTTTTCTTTCCTTCTTCTCATCTGTTTAATATGTTTTAAGCTTAATGTGTATTTCTTATAAAAGCTTATTTGGTTTGAAAGTATATTAATTTGACTTTCCTGAAGTATTTTGCAATATTTTTAATATTTTTGTATAAAAATTATCAAAGATATCTAATAAAATATCATTTTAGTATTTTTGCAGTATTCTTATATTTTAAAAATTATTTTAAAAAATAAAAATATATTCCGAACAAAGTCATAATCTCTTTTTTTTCATGCTATTATTATTATTATTATTATTTTATTTTTTATTTATATATTATTTGAGATAATAAAATTAAATTTGGCAAGGTACTATTGTTGCTCACTTGGAAGATGGAAATTTTCTAAAATGACAGAGATGTCCTAAGCCCACTAATCTCAAACTTCGAAGGCACTGTGTTAACCTTGTTTCTGGGATGGGCTTCTCGTAGGCAGCCATGCTTGAGTCTTCTCTAGGCCTTGAATTGTGAATTTTATTTCTGTCTACTATATCTTAATTATTAATTCAAGATCACTTCAAAATAATAATAATGTTAATAATAATAAAGCCAGGTTTGAAAGTTATATCTTTCGATCAACTTTCATGTGATTTTTTTTTTGTAATATTCTGAAAACAAATTCAATTACTATCCATGTTAAAAATTAGAGGACATTTTATCATTCTAAACTTTAATTTTTTTAAATTATTTTTTTTAATATATTAGAAATAAATTTAAAAAAATAAAAATATATATAATATTTTTGTATATTTTCAAAAGAAAAAAAAGACTGCAGTTCAAACATGCACGGTAATGACCGAAAAGAAAAATACGAGACTGGGAGAGGGTTTAAATAAAGTACGATGTCCGTATTATTACAATATTTATGTGACGAGAGAGTTGCAAAAGCGAGTCAAGGCACAAGGCGAGGGACGGCGGCGGGCGAAAAGAACTAGGGAGGGAGGGAGGGAGGAGGCGTGGATAAAAAAAACACAAAAGAAAAATGATGGCAACCGACGGAACGGAGGCCTGAAAAAGAAATAAAAAGGCCGGGAGTTGTCTCATATTGGAGGTACAATGTCCCCTCTCCCACCATTTCTGGGCCCCATTTAAAAAGCAACCTTCCGTACCAAATCTTCATTTTAATGGCCATTGCCTGGGTTTTAGGTCGGGCAGCTAGCTACTGCTCCAAGGAGAGGCACTCCTCTGTTGAAACCCCACGCGCCTCGGCCTCACCAATCCTCCCCCACCAATCTACAAACAAGAATCCCGAAAACTGCTTGCGAAATTATGAGGTAAAAACCTATGTTAGTCTTCAAATTATCAATTCATTCTCAATTGGATTCCTCAGCTAAGAATTTATTTCAACTTAATTCTTAATTTTGCTAAAATCTGTGATGATTTTAGATAGGGAGACACGGTTGAAAACTATAATGGGAGGAGACTAGATTGAGAAATATTTTAATAAATGTATACACTGAAGAAAATAAGAGGATTGATTTGAGTTTTTTCAAATTAAATTTATTTCAGTTAGAGTAAAATTTTAGAGTTAATGATTCAAATCATTGTTTTAAGTTGACTGTGGTTCGAGAGGAGATCAATAAAAAAAAGTATGGAATAATCGGTAGGCTTAGGATTAAGATTAAACAATTAAAAGATTATTTTATTTTTTTGTAAATTAATTAACTTTTATATTTATATTAAGTACATTAGATATGATCAATCAGCAATTTATAAAAGATGTAATACAACATTTAAAAAAAAAAAGATCACATGCATTTAATTTGTGTCATAATACCGGTGCTAGTGATTTTTATCATTTCATATGAACACCTTGATAATGAAACTATAAATGATTGATGGATTAAGCAAGACTTTGTAAAAGTTTAAAGTATTAAGACTGATTTGTAATATTTTATGTAGATGAAGGACTAACTTGTAGTTATGTCACTCCTTCTTCAGAGTTTGTAACAAAAGGTGCCGAGCTGGTACCTGTTGAAAAACGTAATTAAAAGAAAGAAGGAAAGGAGGGCGGTCTGGTCCCCGAACCTCCTCCTAAGTTCCCCGGTCAGGCGCGT